ATCTGTTGATTGAACCCAGATCTTGATCATATCCATCTTGGGTAACAAACTGCGCACATTAAGATGAACTATCTTCAGCCCAGGTGAGGATTTAAATTCAGATGGTGTCTGGCTACATTGCAGCTCAGGGCCTGGGTTAGGTTGCACATTACCAGATAAGAGCAGTAGTAAGACGATCAGAAGTCTCTGCTTTGTACTTATTGATTTTGACGTGTGAAATGTTGACACAAAGCAGGATTTTTCGTAACTAATTTTGTAATTGTACAAAGCAAGAAGGTTTTGAAGATGAGGTAAATCTTTCTGTAGTTCAAAATGATTAATGTCCTGTTCCAAATACATTGGAAATTGTACAGGATGTATAGCAGCAGTGACGCATGTAGATCTGGGAACCATGTCTCGCAGAATGGGGTCACTGTTAAATGTTCTCATCTTAGAAAAATTGAGAGTCCAAAAGTCCCCCACGGCCAATAAGCAAAGTAAAGTTATTAAAAAGCCATTATCCAAAACACAATGATTGTTGATGCTGAATTAAATAGGCTGCACAAACCTAGGATGGCAAGTAAGGCTCCAGCCAAAAGTTCGGGTCCTGGTGGCTTGCAAGCAGAGGGCTTCTGCTAGCACATTCACCAATGTGGTGTAGAAGGCTTCAATCAACAGCACAGCGCCCGATGTATTGCAGATAAGCTTTTCGAGCAGCATAGGCCTTGGTGTGGTGCTGATGTCTTGCACTAGCAACACAGATGCAGTTTGTTCAGCCGGCAGCAAAGGCCCTGGTGTGCTGCAGACGGCCCCAGCCAGCAGCACAGGCCCTGGGGTGTTGCCTATGGGTCCAGACGGCAGAACAGGCCCTGGTGTGCTGCAGATGGCCCCAGCCAGCAGTACAGGCCCTGGTGTGGTGCCTATGGGTCCAGCCGGCAGTGCAGGCCCTGGTGAGGCTCAGTTGGTTTATGCTAGCAGAACAGGCCCTGGTGTGGTGCCTATGGGTCCAGCTAGGCCCTGGTGCGGTGCAGATGGCCTCAGCCAGCAGCACAGGTCCTGGGATGGTGCCGATGGATCCAGCTGGCAGCACAGGCCCCAGTGCAGTGAGATGGCCTCAGAAAACAGCACAGGCCCTGGTGGAGGCTCAGTTGGTTTATGCTAGCAGCACAGGCCCTGGTGTGGTGCAGACAACCTCTGGTAGTAGCAGAGGTCCCCCCCAAAAAAGACCACTTTCCAAGAATTTACAGAATAGTTTAAAATACTCTTTGTGTCTGTATCCAGGTTGGATGAGCGCCGAGTATTTGTATATGTGTGCATGAGGGTGGGAATGCATGTTTAGGTCTGTGTGCGCCTATTCGTCTGTGTCTATATGTCAGCTCGGGTCTTACACTCCACCCCCTTGGAACATCTCAGGCCCTCCAAGGTATGGAGGCTTATTTCCCCTCACCACACTCCCTGCTGGTGGCTGATGCCCTCAGACATCGGTGCGTTCTTGGTGTCCAGGGCTGGACGCTCAGGTTGTACCAGCTCACTCCCCGGTACGGCTGCTTGGTGGGGCCTGGTGCCTGTGGCTCGGTCGGGCCCCTTGCGGGGGCTCGATTCACTCTGGCACAGCTGACTGCCGGCAGAGCCCGCGTGTACGTCACTTCCGCCCCCTCTGGCTTCTGCTCTGTGGCTGTTGGGTGACCCCTCATCTGGGGTTCTCCTCAGCTCTTCCCAGGAAGGTGGCACGGTTGCCCCTCCGGTGGTCCTCTTTGGGCGCTCGCACTCTGGGGGCCTCTGGATGTCTGGGGCCTGGATCTCCTCCATGCCTGCTTCATGCCCTGGGGGACGGGCTGTGGCTCCCCACACCTTCTAGCAGATCGTTACATGGAGAAGCCTTTTGAATAGACGAGCACTCATCCACACAGGTGTTCACACACACAAGCTACACCTTTCTTGGCTGCTACCTCAAACCACATTATGCGATGTCAATCTTGCGTGCTGCACAATCACATTCAGTATTTAATATTTACTGTTATTTACACTTAGCTAGGTTATTGCAATGGTGTTGTGTTATTATGTTGCTCTCTTTTTTGCTTGTTTTCTCTTATTTTCTTCTCTCAACAGGTGACCTGGGAGATATTTTTTAAGTGCCCTTTCTCACTGTCCCTCTTCCCCTTTTCTTCCTTCCTTCCTTCCTATCCCCCAGTCATGTCTGTCCTATCTGTAACAACTGAAAATAAATTAAAATAAATAAATAATAACAAAGGTTGATCAAATGGACCAATATGGCAAGGCCGTGATGGTCCATTTGGTAAATTAAGTTAGTTGGGCATCTTTTTTGGCCTTCAGACAATAATTCTGATGGCTAAAAAACGAAATGGGACAACAACAAGAAAAGAAAGAAAGAAAGAAAGAAAAAAGTAATAAAAATGTATCTAAAACATATTTTAAGATGAATCTTTTTATGACTGAGTAAAAAAAATGCTAAAATTCGAGTGCAGTGTTGAGTAAAATGGTTTTATTAAAATTTAATTGACCCTTTGAAATTATTTGTTGGAAGTCTTAAATCCCACTGAACAGGGGAAGAGAAAGAGACAGAGACACAAAGATAGCAACACAGAGGTAAATAAACATGGAGACAAGACACTGAGAATAAGACAGAAGGGGAAATGCCCAAAGTCTCATATCTCTGACAAGTTAAGTCACTTTTATTCATAAAAAAACCAGAACTTAAATATAATTATAAACCCACATAAACATAATCATAGAACAATTAAAAGTAAAACATACCAAAAACACATCAAATGGAGAGTGAAGCAAATATTATTAATAACAACAAATGCACATATTAATAATATAAACCAAAATCCTTCAATAAAAAGGCTACAAACAGAAACAACAATTTGAAACAGCAATAAGAAAACAGTGAAAGTGACTACAGATATAGACCTTCCTAGGGAGGCCTGAAGTGCAAACATACCCTCTACACTCCCTTCATAAAACAGGGGACCATGATTACCACCATAGTTGGCCGGTCTGAAGGCACTGACCTCAACTTCCATACAATGTTTGAGCAGGACAACCAGGACAGACCCACAACATACAGAGCCTTAAGTGACCGCAGGCAAATCTCATCCACCCCACCACCACAGTGATGGGCAAGTCTCCCTGCCCACTGTACAAAATGTGCTTCACAGACGTTGTTTCATGTTGTAAAGATTGTGCCTTAAAAAAATAGCCACAAGAAGTTTTAAAGAAATCTTTATTTCACTTTTAAGACACATAACCAACACCAACATACGAATCAACAGGATGAGCACATGCTGAAATTCAGTCTTCATGAAAATCAAGATTAAATCACAAAATGTTTGGTCTCATGTGTGTTTCTTTCCAGCTTTGACTCTGTGGAGTAAAACCTCTCCACTAAACAAAAAAATAAAACATCTCAGCAACTTTTTTGTCACCTCCACAGCTCAACACGATACAAATATCACATCAAATGAATGTAAATACGTGTTTCATCTTCATTACAGGTTTTAATGGAATATGCAACAAACAGAATTAGGGCTGTGACATATCATATGATCTGCAATAATACTGGTATAAATGTTTACAAAAAAGTGTGTTTAGAGGAACATCATGTGTTTGCATTCACCCCAATGAGTCAACCCCAGTCATGTCTCACAGCCAGAGCCATATGTCGGGCTCCAGTCACAGTTTGGTAGCTGAATGTTCGCAAAATATGCAAGAAAACTTTTCCCACTGAAAGTGAAAAAAGCAAACCTGTTACAACACTTTAAGCAAAAACACACTTGAGTACAACCGGGCTGTGAAGGCACGTGAGCAGGAGATACTAGCAGCAGTGATGTGCGACCCAAAGGTAAACAAATGATTCAACCATGCATCACTGGAGCACTCGCGAGTTACATTTCATATAACAGCAAGAGCAGTCAGTGGATGGAAATTACTGATGTGCTACACGGTGGAAAAGCAGGAGGTTAAAAAGCTCGACCCAAGATGAAACAAACCAGGTAGAATTTCTTTTCCTTATATGACAGAATTGTGCAGGCTCCGCATTACAAGGTTATTTTGGATATTAAGCTAGAGTGTAAGCACTTGTAATACACTTTTCTTAAAACTTCCAGGAAAAACACCCCTGAGGATACTTATGTGCTCATATTTCATGTATGCCGTGTCACTAACATTGCACTATAATGTTGTTCATAGAGTATTTAAAGGTAGAATGGGAGGCAGAGCCTTCAGCTTTTAAGATTAGACTTAAAACTTTCCTTGTTGCAGATGGGGGTCCCTCCCTGAGCCTGGTTCTGCTGGAGGTTTCTTCCTGTTAAAAAGGAGTTTTTCCTTCCCACTGTCGCCAAAACGCTTGCTAATAGGGGGTCATATGACTGTTTGGGTTTTCTCTGTTTTCATTGTATTATTGTTGGGTCTTTACCTTACAATATCAAGCACCTTGAGGTGGCCACATTTTCACACTTTGAATTAGCTAAGCTGTCATCAGTGACAGCAGCTCACTGGAAGAGAAAGATGGAAAATCCATCATTTACTTACACATATAAATGCTGCTGCCTGCCGAGCTGATAAAATGTACATTATTTTTTTAAATGTAAGTTTCTTGAAATATTATTTTGAGGCTATATCTCCCACCCCTACATACAATAAACAATACAGAGTTTTTTAAGGAAGGAGGTCATCTGATCTGCTCTGATCTGGCTTCTCAGTGGACTGCTTCATCTGACAGTTCTCCCACTTTTAACTAGTGTGAATCCTCATGTGTCTTTGTAACTGTATCCTCTGAATGAAGCTTTTCCACAGGTGCTACATGAATGAGGCTTCTCACCTGTGTGAATTCTCATGTGAGTTTTCAAGTTTATCATCTGACTGAATCCCTCCCACAGGTGCCGCAGGAGTGCAGCTTCTCGCCTGTGTGGCTTCTCTGGTGTCTCTCCAGTGTTGGTTTCTGACTGAAGCTTTTCCGCAGGTGCTACAAGAATAAGGCTTCTCACCTGTGTGAACTGTCATGTGCTTTTGAACGTTGATTGGTCTCTAAATTCTTTTCCGCAGATGCCACAAGAATACGGCTTCTCACCTGTGTGGATTCTCATGTGAGTTTTCAAGTTTATCATCAGGCTGAATCTTTTTCCGCAGGTGCTGCAAGAATGTGGCTTCTCACCTGTGTGAACCCTCATATGTCTCGTTAGTTTGGATCTGTACTCAAAGGTTTTTCCACAAATCTCACATTTCACAAACTTTTTACTTGTGTCAGTTTTACGCTGACTCTCTGACACAGGAAAGTTGTCTTGCTGATCTCTGCTCTCTGGTTCAGGAGAGCTGGAAGAAAGGAGACGTTCACTGTCCAGCTCTGGCTCACTTTCCTCATAAGTAGGAGCCACCATGAAGATAATAATGCCTTCAGTCTCCTGCTTCACTACAAGCTGATCTACGTCCTGACTGGTGCAAGGTTCCTCCTCTTCCTCTTTTATCTGTGGAAGCTCCGGATCCTCCTGGTCGAGGCTGAAGTTTCTCTCCTGGTCCCCAAAAACCAGTTCCTCCTCACATTCATGCTGTTGTGGGAAAGCTGAGGTGACAAATGGACAAAATTACTTGTCTTAGATAAATATAGAAGTATAACAAGAATGACTACTCGGCAGTGGTGTCTACAGCTGTCCATTTCCAACTCTACAACAGAGTTTAATCAAAATATCATCAGAAATATCATCATATCATTTACCCAGACCTGGAAACTGTTAAAATAAGATTTCATGCACTCACTTCTAACACGTTAGTAAATTTCTATGCACCAATCACAGTTTGTCCACCAATTACTGTTGGAAAGATGTTTATGTAAATGATAAGACAAACATCAGACAGAAGGGGAAATTTAAAAGTAGGATTAAAATATGGGGATAAAAAGCAGCGAAGCTCTCAGAAAACCTCGACTAACAATCAGCTGAGTTTATTTAAACACTGGCCTTGAAGAACTCTGATGTGTTTCCAAAATATCTTTATTGAATGAATTAAAGTCATATTAATTTTTAGGTAAGACCATTACGGTTTTACATACCCCTGCTGTGTAAGTTCATTTCAGGTTTCCAGATGTTATCCAGCTGTCTGAGCTGCTCTTCTTCAGTCCAGATGAGGCCTTCATCCTCCTGTTTGAGTACAATCTTTTCTACGTCATCACTAATGCAGAGTTCCTCCTCTTCCTCTTTGATCTGTGGGGGATCTGTGTCCTCCTGGTCCAGACTGGAGTTCCTCTCCTGGTTGGAGACCTGCTGGTCATACAGGCCCTCCTCTTCCTCACACTTCATGTTAGGGGGAGATCTTGAGGAACAAAGGGTCACTGAGGAAAAAGGTTAATAATGTGATGACAGGAAAACACATCTGAGCAAATATAGTCCACTCTGAGCATGTCCTCATATGTGAGTGAAATTTAAACTGTACAAATGTGAAAAATGAAAGTGTAAGTTACTCTCGAGCTCTGATACTCTTATTAGGAAAGTTCAGAGTACAAATCATTCAGGTAGCTGCTGCCAGCTTCACGCTGCAAGTAAATGTTTGTCATTGTTGTAGATTAAACTGAAAATCTCACAGTGCCATAGCAGATAAGTACCAGTCAGGTTTCACAGCCAGTCATTGCACAGAATCAACCCAACTAAAGTCATCAGTGATCTGAAGATTATTAGGGACTCAGAGTTTCAGTCTTAGTTCTATTTGATCTCATTGCTGCCTTTGATACTGTTGATCATGACATTTTAAATCAAAGGTTTCATCATTTAGTTGGTTTAACTGGACAGTTCTCAATTGGCTCTCGACCTTTGACCCAGTTAAACCTCTCAGGTCATCAGGTTCAGATCTGTTAACTGTTCCCAAAATCAGATGTAAGTGTGCTAAGAGTGTGTTCAGTTACTGTGCTCCTGTTCTTTGGAGCATGCAGCCATAGTTTGCCTGCTGTGGCTGCATTCAAAACTAACAACTATGTTTCCATGCTTTGTGAATAACACTGACATCTGTGAGATTTGAGCTGATTTAGTTCGAGTTAAGACTGTTTATTAGAACATTACAAAGTTATTTTAAAAACTTCATCATTTTCTTGAACCCAAATATAATTCAGTTGAAAAATATACATTTTAACATGAGGTGAGGATGGTGGGGGAGGCACGATGGTCTTGTAGGGTTAGACCCTGATTAAGGGGTATTTTTGAAAGTAAAGCCCATCTCTCAAAGTCCCTGCCGGCCTGCCTCCACCTCGGGAAGCCTGTGGGTGCAGACGGACGTGAGGAGCACCACAGGCGGCAGAGGACTGTCTGTAGCCCCGGAGTGAGGGTCAGAGAGCCGAAGCAGACAGCGAACTGTGGCACAGTGCAGAAAACAGAAGCTTTCCCTCCCTGCCTCCTTTATCTTAATCTTCTAAATAAATCTTCTATAAAGGCACTTTCTCTCGGTCTCAAGGTTTGTTTAATGCTAAAAGTTCACCGTAAAAAAGAGACGCACTTGTGTGATTAGCCGCTCCCTGATTTCAGTATGTTAGCCTACAAGCTGAGCTCTGATCAGGTCCTACATGAGTTGTATTCTTGTGTTAGTCCACTGAGACCATCGCAGTTTTACCTGTTATGCGTAACTTTATCTCGGGTTTCCGGCTGATATCCAGCAGTCTCTGCTGAAGGTTGAGCTCATACTGGACGATCAGACGTTCTGTTAACCTCAGAGCAGATTTCTTCTGCAGCAGTCAGCCGGTCTCTCCACTATTGCTTCAGACCCTGAAATGTTTCTCAGTCGTAGCACCAAAATAAACTCTTCCAGCTAACAGTCCGTCACACATGAAGCTAGCATCCATCAGAGCCTGTGAGCAGCACGAAGCAGCGCCCCACTTCAGCAGCTGCATCCATAGGCCGTGAAGGCCGAACCGAGCGGCTTTAAATGGGACTGTCTCGCTTACGTCGCGCTGCTCCTGTTGCCTAGCAACCGCCACAGAAGCGATTCATTGGTATCCGAGGCCGAGAGACGTTCACGGACAGGTACAAGGTCGTTAAGCTGGCTCCTGGAGCCAACAGCAACGTTAACGCCAACGACATGTAAATTGTATGTTACACTTGGGAAAAATGTATCAAAAGTGGAAATAAAATATTTCTTTATTCATTTGCATTTCCTTTATCCCTTTAACTCTATTACTTCTCTGAGACAAATATTTGTCTTTGAATATACTGCACCAACTACAATCCTCTGAAACCGTTACGCTTATATTTAATTGTAATATCAGATAATTGTCCTCATGTCTAGAGATAATTTTGAATGTTTCTGATAAAATTAAGGATAAAGTGATGTATCAAAGTATTCTTTATGGGCTGACAAAATCGTACATTTCCATAACTGTTTCATAACTTAATTCAAAATATATCTAAACTCCAAAATATATGAACTAATGAAAACATCAACAGCAATAATATACAACAGACACATAAACATAGCAGTAAAATTAATCCAAAAACATTATATGTCTCACGTAACTGAAAAAGAAAAAACACACAAGGGTTGTTTTATTTAACATTTTTTTGTTTTGTTTTATCATAAGGGCATTTTATTGCTGATACACACTTAAAACAACATTTAGCGTCTCTTTCCACTGAAGTATTTTCACTGTAAAGGGCATTATTTTTGAATGTTTACTTAAAAGATCTACATATTTTATTGACAGCATAAAACAGCCACAATCACACTTTGATGACAAAAATAGTTTTAACTAATTTGCCACATGACCCTCATTTTTTCCTTCTGCATGGAACACCACTAATCATCACTATTTTAACACCAATTAATAAAATGAATAAAAACTATGATTCTGACCTCTATAAAATGTTTTGCCAAACATTTGTGAACAGTTTGTGTCTCTACAAATCTGACTAAATAAGGCTGTGAATTAGTCTTTTGCATTTACTGTCTCTTTCTTACACACTTTATTAAAAAAAAAAAAACTCATTCTGAAAACAGAAACATGATTAACTAAACTAGGAAACAGTGGAAATACAAACTCAGCATTCATAACAGGAGTTCTAGAATAACACATGAAAACTTAACTAAAAGATGTTTAAACAGAACTTGAAAACTGAGAAACTTACAGAACTGAAGGAAACAGACTGTAGACCACGATGTACCATTTTATGAGATTTTTACTGTTCATGTTAAACCATGGTGTTTGCTGATACTGTGTCCCTGCTGTTTGTTCTCATCAATAGTCCTCTTCTGTTTTTAACAGAAGCTGAAGGAAATCTTGCTACTACAGTGTTGAATGATACAGCTCCAAACTAAATAAGTGACTAACTAATCAGAATCAGAATCAGAATCAGAATACTTTATTGATCCCTGGGGAAAATAATGATGCTTTGATCCAGTTTACCAGGATCTATGACACAATGCACTTTATGATAAAGGTTTTATTCAGCCTAAAAACATGGCAGAATGTAAAACAGTGCACAACCTGAGCTGAGGTGCTTTAACCTCCTCTACATCCTTGTTAGCAGGATGAAGGCGCCCTCTTGTGTTGTGCATCACTTTCAGATTTCACTTGTTAACCTGCAGGAAGACAAAACATAACTGAGCCTTCAGCAGCTTCAACATCATCAGTAAAGACAGATTTAAATATGTGTAATATCACACTGTGTCAGTTTGTTCACAGGAGTCACAACCTGTAACACTGATGCTGCATTCAAGGACCATGGAAAGATGGGAGAGAAGAGTTTTCAGTTTACAAATTTCCTAAAACATATCAGAGTTGGAAACTGCGGAGCAACTTTACTTGTGATGGTGTGATGCATCAAGAAATGTCTTCAATCAGACAGTAAAACAACACTAATTTCTGTGTAACGTAAAGCTGTTTTAGTGAAGAAAGCTGAATCTTCTGCTCTAACATTGAACTCTGAACCCATGGTTTTCGCAGATTAGTTTGACATTTTCTTTGTCAGATTTGAGTGAGAGTGAGTGAGAAAAAAAAGTGTTCAACATTTGATTTATAAGAAAAATGTGTTCCAACATCTAAAATAACATTTAACATAACAAATGATCTGCTCATTGATTACAATCTCTATTTGTCTCGCTAAACAGATAAAAGGGTCATGTATGAGTATTTAAAGCGCCCAAAAACTATTTTCCACATCAAAGGAAGCAGCTTAAGAGGATTAAATTCTATTGTCACGCTTAAATTCATGCAATACTTTCATGCATTTTAAAGACAATATGGAGTACACAATATGAGACCAGTGTCACCCCAAATGTAACTACAAACTCTAAAATCTGGTGGACAGGTGATAACCAAATGTAGAAAATATGCACCCCTAAATGTTTTTAATGACTAGAGAGGAATATACCAAGTGTCAGATTATTTGCAGTTAGACAGTATGACAAAAAAAAAAAAAATCAAATTTAGTTAATCTGCCTCCCAATATTCCTAAGGACATGATACAACTGACCAGTGTCAGTAAAATTCAGAAAAAGAGAAATGATTTCACATGATTGACTGAATTGCATTATTGCTGTCACACACAGCAAATATATCATAGGCTTAAAAAGGCTCATGACATCATAATTCAAAACAAATGGGCCGGAGCCAAACATGCAAACAGTTGACAAATTAAAGGAAAACTTTTGTTAGTAAGGTGTTTGTGCATCATGTGCTTCCAAAGCAGCTTCAGCATTTCATGGTTTCTACATTAAACCCATAGCATATACTTATCAGCTATTCAGTGACCCTCTTCAGACCACTCCTATTAGAAGTGTATCACCCCAGGATAAAAGTCATAACAGCTTTGTATTGTTTTGCAGTGATTTTTCTCATTGACAAAAGGACCCAAACAAAGGCAGAAAAGTACCACAGTGCAACAGAATCACTGGATTCCTCCTCAGAGAAGGGATCAAGGGTTCATATTATTCCTTTAATTTCTTCCTTGTTATAAATAAAACTCAAAAATAAACCTTGCTTACATTTTACTATATTTTTTAAAGGAAAGTAGCCAAATTTAAAGAAGTTCTACATGGACGAAAGATCACCAGTTCTCAGGATCTCAGCTTTCTTCAGAAAAAGGGCCTTCTCATCTCTTTTTGTCTACAAACTAAATGTTGGTTGATGTAGACACACAGGTACTCCTCCACCACATCAACATCCTGTATCAGGATAGACAGAGATCTTTTAGCTGTCCTCGTCCTTCTGAAGTTGATTCCTGTCTCTCTGACCTGATCCACATTCAGAAGTAGATGCTTTCTCCCAGAGCACTCCACAAAATTATCCACTAGTGCTCTGTACTTTAGTTGTGTACTTTAGCAAAGCTAAAAACATATTCATGAATTTAGAAAATGACATCTTTCTGTTGAAACCAAATGGTGAAATAGATAATCTTTGCACAAAAATATCACCCAGTGCCTATCGAGTCGTAAAATGGGCAAAAGTCAAAAGAGTAAAGTCTACATACACTGCAACCAAATAATATGATATTTTTTTCTTTCAGATGTTAGTGTTTACTCATCTGGATTCTGTCTATAAAACACTGTGACGCTAAAGTACAAAAGTACAAAAGTACAGAAGTACAGAAGTACCAACCCATTCTGAAGTTTAATCTTTATTGAAAACTGTCAAAACACAAAAATGTTCCCAAGACTGAAATATTTAAATGTATTTATTTAAACACAAACTTCATATCATTGGTTTCCAGTAGCCTTTAATCCTGTCAATGAATTATTTTCAGTGACAAGGAGAACAAAATAAATCGTGAAATTAAAAAGCAAACAAATGACAATCTCCACTTTTTATCTTAAAGCAAATGTTTTTAGTTAAGAAAGGTAAAAGAGTTTAAAATAACATTAAAAATAACAAAAATAAAACATTAATGCAGAGAATTGTGACTGAAGCACATCAGTCCCAATTCTAATGACTAATCAGTCTGCTGTCATTGTGGAGGAAAGGTGTGTTATAGAGGTGTTACAAACACATTACAAACACAACACACAGTGTTCCACTCCTGTAAAGGTGGAAGGGGCCATCCCCCCCCCCCCCCCCCCCCAAAGCTTGTGTTTATCTTCATCTTCAGGCTACAGAGCTGCACATTTTTCTTCCACAGTGGTGACATTAACACAAAATCTCTCCCAACAGACATATAAACACATTCCAACTGCTATTTGTGAAAAAAAAAACTTGCTGCACTAGATTTATACTGGATCATTTTTGCCAAAATGTCATACACAAACAAAAAGACTCAAAATTTAAAATTAATACCAACCTCACTCTTGCAGCTGATAATTATCTCCATTTATTTCAGTTTGCAGAATTCAACACTTGTTTCAAACACAAACCATCCACTAAGATAAACTCCAGCACAGAGCGGCTGAGTGAATGTGGTCTGGACTCTGTGGAGGAGAGTCATGGTTTCAGAGACGCTGTAGAAGGACAAAATACCTGCTCTGTGATCCAGGTACACTCCTACTCTGGAGGAACGAGGACCTGAGACAGGAGTTTGGATGTTGTTGTACCAAAATGTATAACTAGTTTTCAAACAATCTAATGCCCAAGATTTATAATTTCGTCCAAATCTACATTCATTCCCCTCTCTGTTGATATTTTTGTATGTCACTGCTACATCAACTCCTATCCCATTCCACTCCATCTCCCAGTAACAACGTCCAGTCAGACTTTCTCTACTCAGGACCTGCTCATATCCAGTGAATCTGTCTGGATGATCAGAATAAGGCTGATCCTGAAAAATAAATGTTGATTTTCTGTGTCCTTCTGATAATACAAGATTTTTGTGTACTGTGTTTGGATCAAATGTGATTTCACGTGAATATTTTAAGAATCCAGCTCTGGTCTTTGGCTCTGGTTGTGACAGTAAAACATCCACTTCAGTGACTGTCAGTGAGATGTTTGTC